AGCAGCTTACGAGGTCAACTGGTCTTCTAAGACGTTCCCTATCTCTCTCAATGCGAGTACTAGACTCAAGCCAGGATCATGAGAAAAAGTAGAAGTAAGACAGTCAGTTCATGGATAAAGGGACTCACACCATTTAAAACCAAGGATTCGTTGTACCGGGGTGCTCTTTCACTTCATTTCACCGTTGGAACCCCTTTTTCTCACTTTCATTTACAATTTTTCTTTCATTTGGTGGGGTTCCAACTGCAGTCTTTTGCACGGTCGACCCTTATTAGTCGAGCAAGAGCAATTTCTGTACATCTGGAGCTCGCCAGAGTACTTCTTTTAACTCCTTTTCCTCAACTCGTGTGGAGGGTCAATGAAATTAAGGGGGGTCGGAAGCTCTATCCGTGCCCTTAAAAACACATCCTCAAGTAGGCAAACCGTTCAACGGGTGGAAGTTTTACTTGTACTAGAGACAACTTAGCTTCACCTTGTAGGAGTACCCCACTAAGGATCACTAAAATCTCTTCCAAAACCCGATTTTGTGCAATGAACGGTGCCGCACACGTTGGGCTTACCCCATGTTTAAGATTTAATGATTTTGACATGGAGGACCAACTGCTTCCCATTTTCCATATGAGCACCCTGTTTGATACACGAGTCCATAACATAATCCAAACAGAGTCACTATTAACACATGAATTCAACGGTCTTAGCTCCACTAATTCACAAAATCAACTGACACAGCAGAGAGCTAGATAGGAAAAATCTTATACTTCAACATCCTCCATAGTGCTACACTACCTCCCTAGGTTGGACATTACTATAGAGACTGTCAATTCAAAGCATACTGAGCAGGCAATTTGCAAGGAAACACGTACTCGGAGCCCTCAAATTTAAAAATTTGGACAGTGGACTAGGCTCCAAGCACACAAACAGCCAAACATTCACCCGCATACATAATCGAACATCCCCCCACACTTAAGCACGACATTGTCCTCAATGGAGGAAAGATAAGGAGGGTAGAACGAAGTTACCAGATCAAGGGTGAATGATGATGAACGGGTCAGGCGGTGCATTCCAGAAAGAGAGAGTAATCAGAACACAAACACCACACAAAATCTCACAAAGGTTGAGTTATTGACTCTAAAATCAAATAACAAAACTGACTCAACCGAGGAGAAATAGAGAAAGAAATGCAAGCCGACTGGTTGGGTTGCCTCCCAACAAGCGCTTCTTTCACGTCGTGAGCCGGACGATGGCTCCTAAGTTTCGGTCCATGCTAGAACCTCCTTGAAGTTGAGGTTCTCGTCGATGAGGTGGAGTCTCAAGTCACGAGCATGTGGTGTGGCAGGTGATGAAGGCTCATGTACTTGATGCAGATGAAGTCTACCCTCGAGACCTCTTCTTCTCTTTTCTCGTCCCATTGCCCCAAACCAGATATGACAGCATCGACCGACCACCATCGCGTCCACCAAGAGGGACCGATGTCGATGTGGCCTTGGTCTGGCAAAGAGACACTGCAATTGGGTCCTTGCCAAGCAGTTCCTCAAAGTTTGGTGGGGATATTACTTGCAACTCATGGCCGGTGCATGCCTCTTCCACCTCAACTTCATCCTCAGCCTGGACGCCAATTGCTTCCTCAACCCCCCTTCCTTCTTCAAAATGTGGTCTCTCCCCTGGGAAAAGATCAAGAACCACCTCTTCTTTTCTTTCTTCCTCATCATCCACAACTTCCTTCCTCATCCTTGCTCGCTCTTCTTCTTCTAGAACAGATTGGAGAGCAAGTCGCCAAGCAATTTCTTCAATGGGATCATCTTGCATCTCCTCGCACGGGCCCAGCATGTTAGAGCATAAATGAGGAAAGGTGTGGTCTGCAACCAAAGGACTTTCCTGATCATGGTTATCATGGGAGTTCTCTGTGATAACTTCTGTATGCTCCTCAACGCTCCCATAGCCTTTGTCATCCTCCACCTCTTCTAGCGTGGTAGCAGAAAGGTGATCTTGAGCAAGATGTGAGCAAACTTGCTTCACCCACTCTGTTTGCTTCGCTGAGCGCTGAACAGTCTCCTCCATATCATGGAGAAATGAGGGATCGGAAGTGGCAAGGGCTTTGATTTGAAGATCCATCTTGGAGCATGAAATCTCAGTGTCTCGAGCAAACTGCTCCACGAGAAGCCTTAATTGTTCGTTCGGATCCTCCAGTGAAGTGTAGCATGGCTCTGCAGAGTGGCCCGTGAAGGCCGCCATGGGTAACTCCAGCTCTGATGGCCGTTCTGGTTGTGGGAGAAAGCCTTCTTGGTAATGAGGTTGTTCTTGATATGCCCAGGGGTCTGATTGTTCTCCGTAGTAAGGGGGTTGGTACTGGAACCCGAATCCATAGTCTTCTCCTCCTTGATTGCTGTAGGAAGTCGCGGGGTAATACCACCCGGATGGTGGTGGATACCCCCTATGATTGGAGAAGCCATTAGGATCCATGATTCAGATCTGCACCAACAAAAACAAAAACACCCAAGTGAAAAGCAAGGGTGGGAATGAAAAGAAAAGAAAAACGCTAAAGTAACAAACTTCTGCCTTTCCTAATACTCTAGAAAGTCCCCGGCAACGGCGCCAAAAACTTGATGCTCTAAAACACAACACCTAACAATGGCCAAGTGTAACCAATGAAAGAGACTGCAGTATAGTGGCACAAGTAATAAATATCGAATCCACGGGTCTCTAGAGTTACTATTACTCAGCTTCAGTTCATTATCTAGCAAACTAGATTAAGGATTGATTAACCAAACTACTCTACTAACTAAACTAAGTAAAACTACTAATTACAGTTTGGGAACTCACTTAGGTATGATTCCCCCTAGCTCCTCAATTAGGTCCAAGTTGTAATTCCTATTGGTTGTTTTACTGTTGATTAAACTGCGGAAGATCCGACATTAGCTTGGAATCTCTTAAGCTGACCAAGCCCTCTCAGTCGAACTATCCGGCAGACGACTAGTCTTCACCGGGATAGAAAGCTGAAGCAATAAGCACAGAAATCCACTACTGGAATTGGATTCCAGTACAAAGCAGTAAACTGGCTAACTCTCGTATAGCCAATCTCCTACTACCGAATGATGAGGCTCTAACAACCTAATCAGATTCTATCTATCTCAGATTGCAGCAGAAATCAGGAAAAGTTGATCAGACTTCAATTGACTCAATAAACATGCATCGTTCGATTATAATCAAACAATATAGCATCCAAAACTTCATACAAGAAAGATCCTAACTCATGGAACTAGGGTTCCTCAAAACCTAAGTGAAGGGAAGTTACTCCATAGAGAAGAGAGAGACTGCAGAAATCTGATCTAGATCTTCAATCTCCATCTCCAAGCTTGATTCCCGAGCTCCAATGGCGAAGAAATCCTCCAAAATAGCTCCAAGAATGTTCCCAAGTCGCTCTCTCTCTCTAGGGTTCGTCCCTTGGGTGTTTGGGATCCAAAACCCAGCTCTCCCTCTTTCCTTTTGCTGAAAATCGGGTTTTAAACAGCAATTCCCGACTCACACGGCCAGGCCACACGGCCGTGTGGGTCGTGCCCGTGTGGCTTGCTCAGCCTCTATTTAATGCTTCGTTTCTCCCTCGTCCGGAGTCCGAATCAGTCCCCGTTTGATCCCAGATGCTCGTAGTCTCGTCCTCTTTCTTTTCATAACAAGCTTGCATGATTATTTGTCCATAAAGTAAGGTATAAATCCATTCTTCTTCAGGTCATGCCCGAGTTTCTTCTCCCGAATCGTCAATTGATCTCTGATTGATTTGAAACTTGCGCCTATGCTTCACTTTATGTGCTAGGACCTGAAATGTGACAAAGGAACACAACCTAGCATAAAATAGGCCAAAGACACGATAATTCAAGCTCAAACAATCAAGAAACAAAGGGGAAAACATGTGCAAATACCGAGTCATCAAAACCCTAATGAGAAGAGTCGAGTACGGCTACATATCCGTACCTACTACAACTCGGACAAGGCCCAACAAGGCCTAATAATAACACGGTTTAAGTAACCACAACACTCCCCCTCAAGCGAAGACATGAATGACAAGAATGTCGAGCTTGAAGAAGTAAATGTGAAGAACAAGCATGATGGCTTTAACCACAAAACTCGAGATGAATAACATCTCGGACAAGGTTGATTGGAGATGACTGACTCTCTCTGAACAACCTGATGATGGAGACGGATGACTGCGTCTCTTGAACTTGAACACACTTGGTACATCGCGATCGACCTGATGACTGCGTTATGCGACCGACGTATGTTGACCTCCTATTCTCCCCCTCAAGCTGGAGCATGAACATCGTGAATGCCCGGCTTGAAAAGCGATGAATGGTTGATATGTGCCCAATAATGAGCTGGAAGAGGAGACGACCATTTCTTGGACCGTAAATGCCAACTGGACGAGGAAAGAACGATGACTTCTCTAATCGTACTACCTTTAGAACGCTAGGGGACGACCATTTTATGGATCGTGAATGCCTCAATCGATACTTGACAATAATTTGCTTGGGAAAGCCTGCAAACAAATAGTTGTCTCAAAATCTAATGAAAGAGCCCATACAAAACTCTTACCAAATACGACCAACACGGGGTTGGAGGCCGGAGTGGACGTCGGCACTCCTGTAGGCAATGAAGGAAGACCGACGACGGAAAGGACTTCGCCATCGGTACGGAGTCGGCATTGGAGGCCGGAGTGGACATCGGCTCTCCTGACGACTAGGAAGGAAGACGCCGCGGCGGGAAGGACGGCGGGAGGTTTGACTGGCCGCCGATTCAGCTGCCGATGATGCTTTATTAGTTGACTAAAAAACTCCGACTTGAGATTAGAGTTCGAAAAGTCAATTGCAATGATGCGACCGTGCTACGTGACGACGTGGCCGCACGACGGCCAACTAAGTTTGACGTGGAAGTTGTAACAAGCTATGCACTTCGGATGATGTGCAACATAAATCCCTTTAATGTCCAAGAGCTCCATAACGTAGACAAGGCTTGACAATATAATTGACGGGAGATGATCATATGCACTGGAGACGCGGCCGCAAAGGCTGCTGGAAAGATATTGAGATGTATAATTGGCCTTATGACCTATGAAGATCGACAGGGCCGGGACAACATAGAAATCACCTTGATCATCAACGTTGACGGAGACACCCTCTGTGCCGGATCAGAGTCTCTTTTGGGACCACGGAAACATACGGTTCCAACGTGAATAAGAAGGGCAGCCGAGCAGCAAATAAATTAGCGGCTGTGATAGGACGGCAGCTACTGATTCTTGCTTCTCGGACGAATGAAGGAACGAAGAAGATGTCGAACTAATGACGACGATGTTGATTCTGCTCGAGACGAGGATAATGGCCGGGAAGTTGACTGGCTGGCGACGACGGTGACCTGGAAAGGGCGGCGTTGGCGGGAGCTCAGATCCGAGCAACCTCTACTGACGACTGCGACGATGATGATTCAACGACGACGGGACGCGAACGACGATGATGATAAGAGGAACGGCGGTGCGTTGAGGCCACTGACGACGGCCTTTACTCAGCATCCGACGACTGGTTTTGACGACGGCCAGCGCTGACAAGGATGATGATTGCGCCGCTAATTCTGGTGGCGCAGACGAAACCGACGCTGGGAGGCCAGATCGCGTACTGGAGGACGGTGAAGAAGAGATAGATGGTCAAACGGCCTCGGGATACATACGAATTTGATGATGTCGAGGCTATCCAACGTGGGGAAGGCTGCATCAATCTTGGCGGAGACGACAGCGACGGTTGACTGCGGAAGCTCAAAACCCTAGACAAGGGATCGAGTTTCGCGATACCATGTAGAATTTGATAACGCGGAAGTACGAAAGAACACAGAAGACAACGATTTTACGTGGTATCCTCGATCGATTGATTGATCGAGACTAATCCACGGTGAGCTCATAAGAGCTCACGACTGATCTCTTATTAAAATTAAATCTTGACGGCTTGCTTACGACAATTTCGTAGCTAAGCTTATATAGAGATAGACTAGGGTTAAAACCCTAATGAGAACAGTTGAGTACGGCTACATATCCGTACCTACTACAACTCGGACAAGGCCCAACAAGGCCCAATACTAACACGGTTTAAGTAACCGCAACAAATACTGCATGGCTACCGTGGACAGAGCAAGATCTGCTCACCACTTTTCTTGCAGCTATCGAAGGAGGCTTCTGCTAAAGTCAAAGAAGAATATGACGGGTCACAAATGATGTAGTTTTTGGTGCACATTCGACAAGAATTTGAGCTTGTTCGTTTGAACCTTTTGAACAAAGAAAGATTGCAACTCGAAAGCCTTCTTTGAAGTCTGATTAGAGGAGAAACCCACCTTAGGACTAAGTATCAGTTGGATATGAGGCCCGATGAAGGAGAAACCGTGTTCTCTACTGCTACTGCTACTGCTCTAGGATCATGAGACTCTTTGGCATATGTTGTCAATAAACCTCAGTTTTAGCGATGCTGGTCTCCATCCAGATTAACGTGCCGCCTTTGCCACGAGATATGCCAGTCATTATCAGGCGAGAAACTTTTGCAATTATTGTAAGAAACAATGTCACATTATTCTTGATGCAGATGGTGAATCTAGTACTTCACCGATCGCTTCCTATTGCAATTAGTTATGCTTAAGCAACCATGCAATCTCAACGTAACTCACCACTGTGGCTTTTGGATTCGGCATGCTTTAACCACATGACATGTGATGCTCTTAGGTTTAAAAGAAAGGATTCAATTCAGAATATGGCCTTACAAGTTGAAAATGGTCAAAATTACAGGTTCGTGGTGTGCGGGCAATTAGTGAATCTTGTATTGATTTTGCCTATAACTTTACATCCCGTTTGTTAGAATATGACTTGAATTTGATTTGGGTTTGTTTTGTGTTTTTGGCCTATTTTGGTTGGGTTTGTGTTTGTGCTTTGTTTGACCTTTTCCTTGTATGTTTGGGAAAATGTATTTGGTTTTCTGTTTGGGATTAGGAGAAGAGTTCTATAAGTACTCTTCATCACCCTAGTCTGTAGTAAGGTCAGTCAGGTTAGTTTGTTTGGTTTGTCCATTTGGAATTTGGTTTGTAACCTGTACTCTCCTCAAATTAGTGAAATTTGTTCCCCCTGCCCGTGGATTAGCTAGCACACATTGTGTTACTGAACCACGTTAAATTTGTGTTCGTTCGTGTTGGTTTGGGTTATCGCTTGCCATGCTTCTGTTATGACAAGTGGTATCAGAGCCTTTGGTTGCGGTTCTGGGAATTTGGCGCTAGACCAAAGTTTTGCTTTGTGGAGGTAGCTTTCAATTCTTCAGCTTGGTTCGGTGGAGGAATCGCTTTGAAGTTGACTCTGGGTAGTTGTGTTTTGGTCTCGCTTTTTTGGTGAGAAATTTGGTTGGAGTTTGTTTGATAATAAGAATGGCTACTATCAGTATGAAGATTGAGAAGTCTATTTGGAGGTGCAGGTTTGGAGTTGGAAGTAAATCTGATGTTGGTGTTATCGATGGAAATAACACTAAGTTGGTTCTGCATGGCAAGTCCCAACATGGGTTGGACTTGCTGCATGTTTTGATTTGTTGACCGCCCTTAGGGGCATTTGGAGGCAGGGGAGATTCTGGTACAACTGATTTGGAGAAGTTTGGTACGTCTGACAATTTTGATTGCATCTGAGTTTGGCGATTTGCATCGCGTTTGGTCTGGCGATATGAATCGCTTTTGGATATGTCTGACAATCTTGATTGCGTTTGAGTTTGGCGGTTTCGATCGCATTTGGATACGTCTGGCGATATGTGTCGCGTCTGGGTACATCTGGCAACTTTGGTTGCGTTTGGTACATCTGTCAACTTTGGTTGCGTCTGGTACATCTGGTATTTGACAGAGAATTCAAGTCAAGGTGGAGATTGTTAGAATATGACTTGAATTTGATATGGGTTTGTTTTGTGTTTTTGGCCTATTTTGGTTGGGTTTGTGTTTGGGCTTTGTTTGACCTTTTCCTTGTATGTTTGAGAAAAGGTATTTGGTTTTCTGTTTGGGATTAGGAGAAGAGTTCTATAAATACTCTTCATCACCCTAGTCTGTAGTAAGGTCAGTCATGTTAGTTTGTTTGGTTTGTCCATTTGGAATTTGGTTTGTAACCTGTACTCTCCTCAAATTAGTGAAATTTGTCCCCCCTGCCCGTGGATTAGCTAGCACACATTGTGTTAGTGAACCACGTTAAATTTGTGTTCGTTCGTGTTGGTTTGGGTTATCGCTTGCTACGCTTCTGTTCTGACACCGTTCATCTTTCTCATCGAGTCAAACATTTTATTTTGAACCATTCCATCTTGTTCATACTTCTTTATGGGGCCCTTGACTCGTCGTCTCCTGTCACCGCTTGTTTGTTGATGATCTTACTCATTTTATTTTGGTGGATTTCAATTCTCTTAAAAAACGATCTTTTAAATGTAGCCAACGAATTCATTCAAAAGGACATAACTCAGATTAATTGTCGCGTCAAAAGTATTTCTAACGAAGGAGGAGAGTTTAGTTATGGTCCTTTCTTTATATCCATGGTATAAGTACAAAGAAATTTTGTATCAAAATGCTTATCCTGGGGGTATCCCAACAAAATGGTTTCGTAAGAAAAAATCACCATGTCCTAGAAATAACTAGTGCTCTTCTTCTTTCATCACATGTGCCTCCTCATTTTTGGCCATAGGCCGTAGCTACATATTTGGATTGATAGAATATCATATCACCCCTTCTAGATCAACAGAGTCCATATTTCGTTCTTTTTCCTAAACATCCAGATTACTCCCGTCTACGTGCCTTTGGTAGCACATGTTTCGTTCTGCTACCTCGTCGAGAATGCACAAAATTAAATTAAAAAGAAGCTCGTTGTGCATTTTTCGGTTACAGTCCACAAGGATATCTATGCATTGATTCCATTCTTCATCGAATATGTATTTCTTGTCACGTTTTATGGCTTAATTGCAAGTTTGGTCACTCGAATTGCTTAAAAATTTCACGTTTGTCATTCAAATTGATTTATTCCATTTATAGTCACTCGAATTAGTTGAACAGTCCAAGTTCGGTCACTCTCCGTTAACCTCCGTTAGTGACGACCGTTAAGCGATGACATGGCTAACAGAAAGACACAGTCAACATATTTTAACAGTAAAATATGACGACCCGACCAGCCAGCTCAGCCTTACCCGCCCTGTCAGTCATTCTTGCCCAACCCGCAACCAACCCAATTAATTGATCCTAAACCCAAACCCGAGACCCAACCCCCCTGAAAAGTAAATCGAAAACAAATGGTTAGGGCATTTCCCTTCCTCCATCTTCGTCCTCTCATCCTCCCGCGCCTCCTCTCTCCATCGCGCACCTTCAAAAATCGCCATCGAAGGGATGGAGGCCGCCGTGCCGCCGCCTGAAGAGGAACGCTGGTGGGGAAGCTCCTGCTGCTGCGGGTTCCAGGAGTGTGGCGTCTCCCCGTTCAAAGTCTCTTGGAAGAACCAAGAGCGACTGCAATCAATAGCAGCCATCGCTGAGCAGGAACTCCTCAAGGAAAGCTGAACAGTCTCCTCACAGGAGGAACCCACTTGCTGAAATTGACCCTAGCTCTCTGGCTTACCCGCAAGCCAGCGGGGCCAGGGCCAGCAGCAATTGGGCACATAATGATGGCAGGGAACCTATTCAAGTTAGGGTTTCATTCAAGTTTATGTTCGTAGTTTGATTTCCACGACTCCTTTTCAGTTGTAAACAAGATTATAGTCTAACATTGTTTTGCAATTGCCAATTTGTAGAAGCAAAACCCTCTGCCTGCTGCTGAAAGCCTGACGCAGCCGCTGACGAGGAGCAGGTCATCAAGGAGATCCCGAGATCTGGATATAAATACTGAAGCTTTACTCAATCCACAGCAAACGTCCTACACTTCATTGTTGCTGGAAGACATCCACAACTTCCATAACAAGAGCATTAACACTAACATAATCAGCAACAACATTCCTCCATCGATGTCATCGTCATTCCAGCTACCGGCTTGTGTCACAAGAGCATTGGATTAAAGAGGAAGAGAACATATGGTTAGGGATTCATTTATGAGGGGTAGACTTATAGGAGGGGGCTAGATTCAGGGGGGTTGGGTCTCGAGTTTGGGTTTCTGTTAGCCACGTCATCACTTAACGGTCGTCACTAACAGAGTCTAACGGAGGTTAACGGAGAGTGACCGAACTTGGACTGTTCAACTAATTCGAGTGACTATAAATGGAATAAATCATTTTGAGTGACAAACGTGAAATTTTTAAGCAATTCGAGTGACCAAACTTGCAATTAAGCCCACATTTTATTGTTTGAACACGTGACCTTTTTTACCCTTCATCTAAGCAATTCGAGTGACCAAACTTGCATTCACCTTTTCATGGTATTCATCATCATCATCACTAGCTACCTCCCCTACTTCGTCTTCGGCAACAGATTCAACTGCTTCATCTTCATCTGCTGAGCCGATGTTCCGGCCGCACCAGCAACACCTTTTCTTCGCCACTCAAGTCATGCTACTTTGGGTGAACTTCTTGTTTAATATCATGATTTTTATATTTAGTCTATTATATTATACATGTTCCTTCTTGATACATGCAGGCACAAGGGATACTCGTTGGGAATGCGCCATGAAGGGGGAGCTTGCTGCCTTACATGCTAACAATACATGTAGATTAGTTCCACAACCACCTTCCTCTAGGTGAATTGCGGGGTCTCGTTGGGTTCATACTCTCAAGGATTTACCCAAGAGTTTGTTGTTGACTTACAGGAGACATTTGCCTCGTTCCAAAAATGCAAAAATGCGCACCTTGCTTTCAGTCACTGCTATCTACATGAGTCTCTGCTTCAATTAGATGTAAAAATATCTTTCTTCATGGTGATTTGAAGGAAGGAATTTATGTGGTATGACCTCCTAGGTACCCTCATGGCTCTTCTGATTATGTTTGTCTCCTAAATAGTTTTTTCTATAGTCTCAAGCAAGTGCCTGCCATGTGGTTTGAGAAATTTCAGGAAACTATTGTGGCACTTGGTTTTCGACAAAATCATAATGATTTTTCATTGTTTCTTTGCCATTCTGATAAAGGCATTTTTGCTATTCTCCTTTACGTTAATGATATGGTGATGAATGAAAGTGATGCGGATGGGATTGATCAGGCTCTTACTACCGTGATTCATGATTCGTCCAGTCTCAAGAGGATCTCTTTCTTATTTTCTTTGCTTGGAGTTTACGCACAATCATCATGGTATTCTACTTAGCCAGCGGAAATACATAGATGATCCACTTGACACTACTGGTTTCACATCCTCCACGCCTATTTCAACTCTCATGGAGTTGAACTTGAAACTCCATATATACATCGTCGTTCCTCTTAATAAGGTTGGCAACTAATGCTATCGATCCTTATTGGGCACCCTCCTGTACTAAATTCTTACAAAACTCGACTTGTTGTACACTGTTCATATCATGAATCAATTTATAATTGCACCTCGTGATCTGCATCTAGGTGCCACACAATGAATTCTCCGCTATCTTCAGGATACTCGTGAAGTTATAATTTTTTTATCCCTCTCTTGGTTCGGCTACTTTATAGGCCTTTTCTGACTCTAAATTCATAGGATGTTGATACTTGTCGTTCTACGACGTTTGGTCTCTTCTCCATGGTGATTAATTTCTGTTTTAACGATGTAATAAGTAAGACGAGGTTTTAAAGTCATCAAATGAGGCCGAGTATCGTTGCATTTCAAATGCTAGTTCTGAACTCATCTGGTTATGATGGTGCTTAGCTGATTTTGGTGTCCTATGTTTTTTGGCTATGGAGCTCTACATAGATGACACTAGTGCTATCAAAATTGATGCTAATCATGTCTCCATGATCGTACAAAACACATCGAAGTTCGTATCCACATTGTTCTTGACTTTGTCAGCAATGGATACATTCATTTTCATTATGTCTCTTCTGAAGACCAGCCGGTTGATCTCTTCACCAAAGCCTTCACTATTGCTCATCATTGGTACCTCTATAGCAAATTGATTATGAGGAACCTACATCAATTTTGGGGGGAGCCTATTGAATACGAATGGGTTAATCTGTGTGGTAAGTTTGTGTATGTATTAACTTACATGCTTCTCTTGCTATAGAATCCTAGTTGATTTGGGGTACTTGGTCATCAAGCTACACAAATTATAGCGCCTTTGAATGAGTGTGCATGATGAGCTCTAATTTAGTTGGTAGTTTAGCTTGTGTAGCTAGATCTGCTTAGGAATCCCAGCGGATGCTGTATAATGGTTGGGTTAGGATTATAGCTATATAGAGAGGGGTATTCGGGCCTGGCAGATCATCGACTACAATTTGCAGCTCGTGTTCTCCCCTTGGACTAAGCCAAGGTATCGTCTCTAAGCTTGGTTGAACCACGTAAATCGTTTGTCTCTTGCTTCAATTTCTTTTATCTTTATTTGTTGAGTATTGCTATGTCTAACACACCCTACGAACACTTACAATAAGGGTATTTTGATTACTGTTGTACATAATAGTTTCCACCCTTCTTCCATTCTGTTTTCCGCCGCCATCGCGTCTCCCACTGTGCCCCAATAAATCTTTATGATGCTTTGGGACTAGCCCTTTCCGGAGGGAATCACGTCGAGAGCATAGCCACAAGCATCTGCTAGCTTGACGAAAACATCACAATTCTTAGCCACACGAAGTTTGGCCACATCGACTAAAACTGGCTTCACCGCCTTGTTCAAAAACTTTGTCGTTGCGTCAATTGCAGCCATGGCTACGGTAGTCTCTCTGGCAAGATCCGACTCAAGAATGTTTGGGTCGATCCGGTAAGCACGACGGTCTGTGTTCATGTCCTCGTGCTATTGCTAGCATTAGTGATTAATGGTTCCATCCCTTACCTAACCATCGAAACCACATATAATTAAATTAATTAAACAAATAATCATTATTAAGATTTTCACCAAACATGAAACACTACGAAACTGAATTTCCAATTGAAATGATCCTAACTCAAATACCAAAACACGTTTCAATTCTAATCATCCGACACATGAATGTTACTTTTGGTCATATCAGTACACGAATACATATTTGTTTTATCATTATAGTACATGAACTTCTTATTTATTAGTAATTCTAGTTAGATTTAATAACATGACATTAACTATAGTTAAATATATCTTGTCATATGTCATGTATAATTTATAACATATTAGAAACATTTAAAAATGTAATTCATAAAAAATCTCTTTAGTTATTTTGTTCCTCTGTACACATTTTCAAAAAGGATTAGCTGATAATAAAAGAAAAAACCCTAATCTTCTAATCAACTTGGCTATTGGTGCCAGTGAAATAATCAATTATGCAAGTTACGTATAACTCGATTTTTCCCCTGGTAGTTTTCTTCATCTGCAGTTTTGCCAACTCTGTTAAATTTTTGTGAAAAACCCTATAAAAATCCGTTCAACAATAAATAATTTTTTTATGCGATCTATTTTTAAATATGAATTCATCTATTGGTATGACCAAAAGTAACGTTCATGTACCGGTATGACCAAATCATGAAAGTGTTTAGGGTCAAATTGACTTTGTCTTCTTTTTAACGATACAATATTGTGATTAATGAGAGAACCTTTGGTATGTTATATGAGGTTTCTGTGTTTGCTTCAGGAAACTTATGATATGCTTTATTCGATTTCTGGTATGCTTTAAAAACTTGTGCTATGCTTTATGATGTTTCAGATATGCTCTAGGGAATTTGTGGTGTGCTTTAATGAAGTTGTGGTATGTTTGAATGAACTTGTGTTATGCTTTATAAGATTCATGTTATGCTTCAAAGACTTTGTGGTGTACTTTAAGAAACTTGTGGTTTGCTTTAAAAGCTTTTTGTTATTTGTCTTGTGGTTTATGACTTTTGTAGTGTGGTAAGGTTGTGGTATGATTTCTATGTTTTTATAGTATGCTTTATGAGTTTTTTGGTATGTTCATTACGTTTGTGGTGTGGTCAAGATTCATATAATAGTTCTAAGAGGAAGTGATCGAATCACAATGTATTAAAGTAAGATAATTGTCGTTGATGGTGCTTTATGTTGGATTTCGAAGGTCCAAGTATTCCCACAATATCATAAAAGCTAGAGAACGATGAATCAATATCAGCCGTAGGGCTGCAAATGAGCTGAGTCGAGTTGAATCTTACCCCAGTTTGAGCTCAGGTCATTCATAAACGAGTTGAGCTTGACGAGTCGAGTCGAGTTCGAGGTAGTTTGGTTACTAAAATCTTGAATCATATTTGATATAATCATTTTGTATGTCATGTATGATACATGTGATTAATGTCATGAAAATAATAATAATAGTTAAGTGTTCAATATTAGCTAATCTCATGTTATACTTTGTGGTATCATATTATTTATTTTATAAATTTTAACTAGTCAAGATTATGTTATTTCACAGTATCGAATCAATCTATGATACAAAAATTTCTTTTTAAAATTAAATAAGACATATTTGCTCACATAATCTATGTGTTAAACTTCATATAGGGTGAGATATATCATTCAGCAGTCCTATTAATTATCAAAATCAAACTCATATAGATCGATTCTCTCATAAATCGGTAATCGAGTTGGCTCTCTAGCCATAATGTTGAGAATTGAGACATTTCATATGCTCTAAATGAGCCACCTCACGGGTTGAGCTCAACAAGCCACCGAGTCGAGCTAGCTGCGCGAGCTGCAGGAGGCTTAGCTCAACCTCAACTCATTAGTAAACGAGTTGAGTTTCGAACGAGTTTTACCCGAGTAGAACGTTGGGCCGCTCGCGAACAGTTCGACTCATTTACAACCCTATTTTTGGTATATTTTTCAAACCTTATGATTTGTTTGTGACGTGGTTTGTTGTATTTGTGGCCCCCAATTAATGCATCTTCCCCTCCCATTAATGCGCGTGTTTGCCTCTCCCTGTCTCTCAATTTTTCATAACTCTACTTGAATAACAAATTAAATGTTACTCTACCTTATAGTTGTGATTGTGAAGGTAGATCAACTTAGTGCGTTTGTCAAAAGTTACATCCTTTCAACTAATCAACGTCCGACTGGTATCTATTCGGTCAGCTCCATATAGCTTTTACACAAAACTCATCCAGAGGAAACTCATAATTCTATGTATTGTAGTTCATGAAGTATCCTCAACATTAGTGAAAGGAAGACTACTAATAATAAGGAACAGAAGATGCTGTTGCGGAAGGGAGAGAAAAGGTCGATCATTTGTTATTATTGTAGGGTAAATACAATATATTACTATTAAGAGGCGGGGAATTATAGTCAACAACTATCGAAATATAAATTATTAGCCAATTGTTAAGTCTTCGTTAACACTTATGTTAGTAATAATGACTAAGCTTTTACGAAGCTGAGCTGGCTCCCACGTGGCAGTCATCATATCATATATTTTTACGATTCTGGCATGGCCTTCTCCGTGAAAATTTTAAAAACAGTAACGGGCTGTTAGCCAAATCATAACCCGCAACAATAGTTATGACTAATAATTTGTATTTCGATAGTTGTGGCTAGAATTCTCCACTACTTAATAGTTATGGCTAATATATTGTATTTGCCCATTATTGTATATAAAGTTATGAACAGACTATATGATTGTAAATATTGGGTTGATTACATGAGTGAGTGAGGGAAATTGAGCAAACAATAATTTGTTTGGGCGTCTAACTTCATCCTTACCTTTCCTTGTATGTAAACAAAGTGTATTGGGCTCCTCGTTACCCACAAAAAAATGTTTTCGCCTACTCCCGCTCGTCGTGATCATACCATGCTATATATTCATGAACCCATATTGGAAGTTATACGGAAAAAAAAAACAGTGATATATTATTTTATAATAAAATTATAGTTCAATAATGATGCAACATTTTATACAACTAAAATTGTCTATCAAATTGGGACTTGTCTATGCAATTGACCAGACGATAGAGTTGCATCGACCAATTCCTAACACATATCCGCCTAGGCGCAAAAACCTCCACGTCAAGGACTTGTGGGTCAATGCAACCGATTGTTGTAGGTATATTGGCTAACCATAATGGAAACAAAAGAGAGACACAAAATTGATGGGATCAAATGACAATGCAAATGTGGTACCATCATGGTTGAAAAAACACGTATAACTTTACGTTTAGATACGTCTATGTGTAAGGCAATGACAAAATACCTTGTTTATGGGTTTCATGCCTAATTAGTAATTAGATATCGGAATACGTCAATGAAGTAAGGTGACATATAAGTCTCTTCTAAACATTACTAGATGGAGCTAGGAAGTCAATATTAAAGGGGAAAAAAATTAACTTCAGCAACAAAACCAATTTTCTATATCAATATTTTCAATAGTTTAAGAACTTTGTGAGCTATTGAGCTATGTTCTTGTCATTAAGTGTTCAGCAAGTTATTAATCATTTTAACTTAAGTGAGAAAGTGTTGTAGATTAATATTCCATCATCATGCACTGCGAATAACTATTTTTTTTCTTCGAACGCCTAGACACACTTAGTCTGCGCCTAGACACGCTTAGTCTGCGCCTAGACGAGCTAGGCGCTAGACAAAACCTCAACTCCCGCCTTACGCCTGACTACCATTTTAACCTTGACCAAGATGATTACATGATTTGGTACTGAAACTTTGCGTGAAGATGAGTTACCAAACATGGTGTTATGATCAGTGGCGGATACAGGGGGTGGCCACCCCGGGCCCCGGCCCAGTCCTCCTCTGGATCCGTAGTTAGTATAGTTCTTATGAATTTTTCGATTTTAGGCATTCGACTTAGTGTGATTTTATAATAAAATTGGGTATAACTAAAAAAATGATTCAGCTGACCATATTCAAATCACTACTCTAAATTTAGCCTTTAAATTTTAGTCCCAAAGATAATGCGTATAAAAAAAAACAATGAAACCTAAAATTCTAAAAGTTTAAAACGTAAACGGCTAAAAGAAATATGAGGTTTGTTCCCTTGAAAACTTACTAGAGCAGTTGGTGGATGCAGGGATTGACACACAATGCCAATTGATTAGTCGATTGATTTGTTTAGTGTTGATGCTGCTCGTTTCAACAGCTACTACGAAGAGAACCTTTTCAACAATGAAACATGTGAGAACTGATTTGCTCAACAAAATGAGCGATGAATTTCTCGCTGATTGCTCAAGTATTTTATTTGAAACCGTGTATACTATTGGTATGGATGTAGGCTCCATTATTGATGCATCACTAAATTAAAATACCGTCGTGTGCAATTTACATTGGAAAAAAACTATAATCATTATGTTATTTTACTATTCAATTTTCTAATGAAACTCGGCCCAGTGCTCTTCTGTGTTCTGGGTCCGCCGCTGGTTATGATGTGTTCGATGGTAAGTTCACATTTTATTTGCTTTACATAAATCGATGTCTACTGCCGCAATTTTATTCTTTAACCGTCGTTTTACATGCGTTGGATATTGTTTGCTAAAGGTGATGACTTTATGTTGATCGCTGCAATCATCAGCGATTTGATTATCAAAATTGTTGAAATGAGCAGTGATCCAAACCAACCTGGTTTTTGGGAAAATTTTAGGCAAGTTAAGCATTAAGGCAAGTTTTAAATGATGTATTGCGGATACTGTGTCAAACCCCGATCTGCAAAATTCGGTCGTGTCGTGATATGATGATACGAAATATAATCATATTGTATCGTCGTATCGCACATGTGGTGATACGATTATACAACTGGGATTTTATAGGGAAGGGGTTTTGTAACGGAACACATTTTAAAGGCTCCTCTATTTTTGGGTGAAAAGTTTTAAAAA